CTAATAATATTCCGTTTAATAATTCTCCGAATGTTTTGTAAAATTCTGTTGGTAAGCCATCAGTCCCCGTTGTTTTGTTATTTTTCTGTCTCTTCAATGCTTCTTTTAATTCACCCATCGTGATCTCCCTGTTTAGTAATTCTTTTTCCTCCTCTGTTAATATTTGTACCCCCTCTCCTTTTAAGTACTGTTCAATTCCCTCTGTTGTTGCTGTGTCCTTCCCATACAGCCTCTGATAGTATTGAAGTATTATTTCCTTCTTTTTCTCTATGCTTTGTTGGATCTTCCCCTCATCATCTTGTAGTTTCTGAATTATTCTTTTTTCCCTTTCCTTCCTTAACCTATACGCCAACCACCTCCCTGGTTTGTTTGCGTGCTCAAAGTGATTCTGCCTTATATATTTATATATATATATATATATATTGTTAAACGAATGGTCTTAAGATGAGGACTTCCTGTATCCATTCAGCTTTCTAGGAAGCAATATAGAAGCAATTCGCCACAGCCTACTTCTGGGAGACAGACAGACAGATTTCCTGTGGCTTTGCATCCTGTTTGGTTTTTATTTTTTTCAGCTCAAACAAGGTTGGATGCAGTGGACCAGAATTTCCATAGTTTTCAACACATTTTTTCCTTACCAGCAGAAAATGTTTGCAATTCTATTTGAGAACATAGGTGGAATGGCGAATTTTGGAAAACTGTTAGGCTCAGTCACTTTAGAATAAGATTATTACATGCTACATGTAATAATGTACATGTAATGTACATCACAGAAATTTGAAAGAGAAAATTACGTGCCACGCTTTGGGGAATAAATGTGGAAATAAAAAGAAAGCAAATTAAATAAATATAAGACGGAAACAGTTAAAAATGTATAACTCCCTCCCACAATCTTTTTTCTATTATGAGAAATTTCATACTTTACTTTGTCCAGAAAAGATTATACAGGAAACTGCATACTTTGCAATGTTGCGTTTCTATATATTTCTACAACACCAACTGCATCGATAATCTGAGGACATAATATATATTGTGACATTGCCGTCACGTTTTTCAATTGTTTCCTCTTTTGTGAGTGACATGTTGTGTTTTATTATTTTCAGTTCAAGGAATTAACTGGTAAAGACAAATGGCTTTTTAAAGAAAGCAGAAATACTGTACACTCGCAAAGAACCAATGCCATTTATTTGTGAATTTCATTAATGGCATTCAATATAAGGGAAACAAAGAAATGTATTATTAAATGAAATACCTATTCATTTATAACTTGGTGAGCTGCAAGAGTAGGGGTTGAGAATGACTGTCCTACATATCTTTCACACAATACTAATCCCTGTTCCTCATGTTGATTGTGGACGATTTCCTTTTGCCTGAAGTCATCGTTGCACTTGTCTGTTTATTTAGCTTCAGGTTGATTGAGATCTTGCTTGTTTGTTTAACATTTCTAACAACTATGCTCCATCTAAAAGCTCTTACAACAGTAGACAGGCTTTAATTTTATTTTTTTAAATGAAGAAAACTGGAATAATCCGAAACAACCACACAATTCTTTTCAAAGCTAGAAATATTAGAGACAACCAAGCTGCAGGAACCAAGTGGGGTTAGGAACATCAGGTAAATTCCAGCCTTTTTTTTTCCAGGGATATAAAAAGTATACATAAAGACTTGTCCTTATTCTGACACATTTAACATGTATTTCTTGGCAGTTCTCCTGTGAATTGAAAAGCTATATGGCAGGCAGACAAGCAGGCGTACAATATGTGGCTTTCATATCTTCCCAATAGTTCATTAAAGAAATAAATATCCTGTTGTATATGACAATTATGTCACGTTTATTATTCTTGCACCAAAGGCAATACATACTTGCATTTACCTGGGCTGCACCTGCTTAACTTTTCTGGATTTCAAATCAGAGAACATTCCAAAAGAATGGTTTTTTGTACTTGCATGTTCACCTACTCACCAGAAGCAGAGTCTATTTTAAGAGAAACTTACCAGAGAAATCTGATTGGCTTTTAGTTCATCGGGAGTTTGGTAAAATCCAATACCAGATCAGATAAAAAGCTTGGCGTATCTGAATCCTGACAGCAAAATGGCGCTGTGACAGACTTGGCCAACCACAAAGCAGCTATTTAGCAAAAGACACATAGAGGAGATTCTTCTCCATCATCTCTTCACAGTCTTAGTGGACAACCATTTAAATATCAGCCAGCAATGTGCAGCAGCTGCCAAAAAAAGCCAACACAGTTCTAGGCTGCATAAACAGAGGGATAGAATCAAGATCACGTGAAGTGTTAATACCACTTTATAATGCCTTGGTAAGGCCACATTGGAATACGGCATTCAGTTTTGGTCACCACAATGTAAAAAAGATGTGGAGACTCTAGAAAGAGTGCAGAGAAGAGCAACAAAGATGATGAGGGGACTGGAGGCTAAAACATATGAAGAACGGTTGCAGGAACTGAGTATGTCTAGTTTAATGAAGAGAAGGACTAGGGGAGACATGAGAGCAGTGTTCCAATATCTCAAGGGTTGCCCCAAAGAAGAGGTAGTCAAGCTATTCTTCAAAGCACCTGACGACAGGACAAGAAGCAACGGGTGGAAACTAATCAAGGAGAGAAGCAACTTAGAACTAAGGAGAAATTTCCTGACAGTTAGAACAATTAATCAGTGGAACAACTTGCCTCCAGAAGTTGTGAATGCTCCAATGCTGGAAGTTTTTAAGAAGATGTTGGATAACCATTTGTCTGAAGTGGTGTAGTGTTTCCTGCCTAAGCAGGGGGTGGACTAGAAGACCTCCAAGGTCCCTTCCAACTCTGCTATTCTATTCTATTCTATTCTATTCTATTCTATTCTACGCTACGCTACGCTACGCTATTCTATTCCTTATACACTCAATAAGCCACATGGCTGTGTGCTTATTCCAAATTACCTTTCACAGGATGTTTCTAGCCCCATCTGCTTTTTAATGTCTAAGAATGCCCATGGGGAATTTTATAAAAAAAGGATGCAATAAATTGAAGGAAAAAATTGCAGGGAGCTCACTTTCCCATTTTCTTCAATAAAAAAGTATTGCAAGGAAATAGGCGGAGGGACTCTAGTGATCATAACAGGCATCTCTGCTGGGCTCTAGAAGGCAAAATGGCAGCCATGGTGGTGCATTGAAGTCAGCTCACTTTTTTGTGCATATGTATAAAAATGAGGTAAAAAAAAAATCAGTAGGATGCGGTGGCTCAGTGGCTAAGACGCTGAGCTTGTCGATCGAAACGTCAGCAGTTCAGGGGTTCGAATCCCTAGTGCCGCATAACGGGGTGAGCTCCTGTTTACTTGTCCCAGCTTCTGCCAACCTTGCAGTTCCAAAGCAGGTAAAAAATGCAAGTAGAAAAATAGGGACCACCTTTGGTGGGAAGGTAACAGTGTTCCGTGCGCCGCTGGTGTTTAGTTATGCCGGCCACAAGATCACGGAGATGTCTTCGGACAGCGCTGGCTCTTTGCCTTTGAAACGAAGATGAGCACCGCCACCTAGAGTCAGGAACGACTAGCACACACGTGTAAGGAGAACTTTTACTTTTACATTTACTTTAAAATGAGACTACAGCACAGTCAGGGCTGCCATCATTTCTTTTTTTACTTTTGCTTTTCTTTCTGGCCTTTTTTAGTGTTTGGTGTTTCATATTATTTCAGAGCGCACTGCTTTTTATTGGATATTGTTATTGCATGTTATTACTTTCACTGGAATAGAATACATGAAATCATTGTACAAATGACTGTGTAATACCGAACGGTTGTGCAAAAGTGTTTGAACTGGCAGTATCATTTCTATTCTCACCTGATAATAAAGCGTGCAAGGAATGCAAGATACCTGCAGGGATTTTCACCTTAGCAGATTACCCAAACGTCTCTTGAGATTGGAATATTCTTGTTTAATATATTTATTATTTAATGTTGAATATTCCCAGGCTTTTGACCACCGTTGATCAAGGAGAGATTCAACCTAGCAATAAGGAGGAATATTCTGACAGTGAGAACAATCCACCAATGGAACGGCTTCAGAAGTTGTGGGTGCCCCATCACTGGAGGCTTTCCAGAAGAGACTGGACTGCCATTTGTCAGAAATGGTGTAGGGTCTTCTACTTGGGAGGGGGGGTTGGACTAGATGACCTACAAGTTTCCTTCCAACTCTGTTATTCTCTTCTGTGTGCAGAGGATGGAAGAGAGTTAACTGCTCCACTGGGAAGTTACGTGGCATCATGAGATTATGACATCCTCAAATAAGGGTTGTATCTAACGTTGACTCCTGAATGCGAAATAACATAACTACATAGTACAATGGACTTGCAGGGCCAGCGCAAAGTGTAACATGTTCACACTGGTGCAATAGGGGTGTTTGTTAATACGATTTATTCGGTTAGGGATTTTCTGTCTTCACTGTGAGTTGTATTGTGTTGGGTGTGTGTGTGTGTGCACTGAGGGAGCTCCACCAGTCTCATTGTACATATGTTGTGCAGTGACAATAAAAGTTGTTGTTGTTATTATTATTATTATTATTATTATGAATGTATTTTTACAACTATTTCTATCACTATTGTTGTATGTGCGCTGAGAACCTATTCACCAATTTCCTTGTGTGTCTAATCTAATCACACTTGGCCAATAAAGAATTATATTTCTATTTCTATTCCTATTCTATTCTGTGCTTGCATTTTGATTGCTACTACTAAATCAGTATCTCTAAATGTCAACACTCATTTTTGTGCAGATTCTATTCCATTCCATTCCATTCTTCTTATTGTGTTCTATTCTAAATTCTATTCTATTCTAATTTTATTCCATTCTGTTCTACTCTTATTCTGTTCTATTCTACATTCTATTCTATTCTAAAACATCTTCAATAAGTCCACGCATGCGCATCTTTCACTGCCCAAAGCATGGCGAGTTAACCGTTGCAACTGACGCAGTTTACACCAGGGCACGCGAGAGGTAAACCGCAAAGCTCTGCGCATGCCCGGCGGATAAGCACGCGGCGAGAACGAAACAGAAACAGGCGCCCGCGGCGCACAGCTTCTCAAGGGGAACCCTCGTGACCTCTGACCCGAGCACGCAAACTCCGGGGGTTGGCGACGCACGCCCCCTCCTCTTCCCTTCCTTTCCCTTCGCCATGGCGGCGGGCGGGGAAACCTTGCCCGGGCTGGCGGCGGAGTTGAGGCGCTTTGCATCGGAGCCGGCGATTCTACCGGACGACGGGCTGGCGACGCTGAAGCGGGCTACGAGTCTCTTCCGGGAGGCGGCAGTAAGGTGAGGACGGCGTCGGCGGGGAGTCACGTGGGGAGGCGCGCATGCGTGTCGGCGACTGGGGGGGTGTTCTCGTTGCCCTGAGGCTGATCTCGGATCTCTATTGGACGGGATTATTCCCCCCCCCTCCCCAAGGCAATAGAGCAGGGGTCTCCAACCTTGGCAACTTTAACCCTGGAGGACTTCAACTCCCAGAATTCCCCAGCCAGCAAAGCTCGCTGGGGAATTCTGGGAGTTGAAGTCCGCCAGGCTTAAAGTTGCCAAGATTGGCGACCCCTGTAATAGAGGCTGGGTAGGCATTGAGATCCTCTCATGAACCAGGAATGTTTTCTTTTTTCTTGGTTTGAAGATAATTCATTGTGGAATGCTAAGGGTGGGAAGAGTCTTCGAGGTCATCTAGTCCAGTCTTTTCCAACCTTAACAAGTAAGGGGTCCTTGGGACTCTCTGAGCTTGCTTGTTGTTGATTTTTTTGCAGACGTTTCATTACCTAACTAGGTAACATCATCAGTGCTAGTCTTGATGATATCTTGAATAGCGCAAAAGATGCAACGGACCAAGGAATATAAATTATTCCATTCCCCACCATCCTGTCAGAGCTGAAGAAGCTGCTTGGATGAGAAGTGAAACGTTTTCAAAGAAAAAACGAACAAGAAAGTCCAGTTGCCTTGTGAAAAAGCACCTTTGGGACAACCATGACTGAGAATCTCTACAGACTTTTAGCACTGGTGATGTTACTTCATTGGGTAATGAAACATCTACAAGGAAACAAGCGAGCTCAGAGAGCACCAAGGATCCCTCAGGTCAACCCTGAGCTACAAATATTCTCCTTTATTACAGTAGTGGCCAAGATTGTGGAAACCTTTTGGGAAAAGTGTTATTTTCTAAAACTAGCTAATAACACAATTTTTTTGGAGTAGTACCATAAAATTATAGATCAACAGAAAGATAATTTAATCAAGAATGTAATGCAATAACGTTTATGAAGGATTTGCTATTAGAATAGCAGTTACAGTATAAAGAAGAAAAGTGAAATACATAGAAAACACAAGATATACAAAAATTATCACCATGTCAGTTAATACTTAGTTGGGTAACCTTTAGCATGAATTACGGCCTTACAATGTCTTCCTATGGAGTGAACTAAGTCTTTTAGTTCTGCAGCTGTTATAATGTGGAACCAAGATTGCTTCTTCCGGGTTTTATTGCTGGATCGCATCTGACTAACAAGTTTCTTTAGTCAGCTCCATAGATTTTTCAATTGGGTTAAGCCAGCGGTCAGCAACTTGTGGCTATGGAGCTGCATGTGGCTCTTTCATCCCTCTGCTGTTGCGGCTCCCTGTCACCGGTCAGCTCCCCAATTGATAGGGCTTTCGGTTAGGACAGGTAGAGGAAAAAGGACGCCATGCTAGGAGAAGACTATGGTGGGGGAACCGGACTTCCGGTAGGCAGGAGAAAAAGGGTGCCGCATTAGGAGGACACTATGGTGGGGGAACAGGATTTCCAGCCGGTTCCAGAATTGAATTTGTGTGTGTATGTGTGTGTTAGGATTAGGGTTAGGGTTTGTAGCTCTTTGAGTGGCTCTTTGAGTGTTTAAGGTTGCCAACTCCTGGGTTAAAGTCTGGGCTATTCCCAGGCCATTCCAGCGGTGGAATATGATTATCTTGAAACTCCCCCCCAAAGTGGTGTTATTAGCCATCAAACTTCAAAAATACATTTTTCCCAAAGGTTTCCACAATTTTGGCCGCTACTGTAGTACTTTTCAAGTAAGGTGTGTGGACTTCAGCCTCCAAGATTCCCTAACCAGCGTGGCTGGCTGAGAAATCCTGAGTGTTGAAATCCACACATCTATATGGATTTCTAAACACATCCGTGTTTATTTCATGTCCGCATCTATATGGACATGACAGCAGTGGTTCCAGTATTTGAGAGGCTGTCACAGAGAGGAGTGAGACAGCCTACTTTCCAAAGTACCCAAAGGCCAGGCAAGGAACAATGGATGGAAATTGATCAAAGGGAGATTCAGGCTAGAAATGAGGAGAAATTTTCTGAGAACGATCAACCAGTGGAACAACTTGCCTTCAGAAATTGTAGGTGCCTCATCACCGGAAGCTTTTAAGAAGCAATAGGACAGCCACTTGTCAGAAATGAATAGGGTCTCCTGCTTAAACGCGTTGGACTAGAAGACCTCCAAGGTCCCTTCCAACTCTGTTATTCTATAAATTATGTCTTAAAATTGTCAAGGTTGAACAACACTGATTTAGACCATGTCTCATGTCTTTCCCTCAAACAAGAACCCCATGAGGTGGGTTAGGTTGAGAGTCGTGACTGGCCCAAAGTCACCAGTCAGCTTTCATACCTAAGAGAGGCTTATAACTTGTGGCCTCCTGGTTAACCAGTATATCAAATAGGCTCATCTGTTTAGTCTTCTGCCCCATTTTCTACCTGACATCCCTTCTTCAGACACTTGTCATGTCTCCCCACTGTTTTCCCTTCTCTAGATTTCTCTTTGAGATAAACAAGTTCAAACCTCCAGCTATTTCTTACAAGTCTTTTTCTTGCAGGCCACTTTTCATAGAAGATAGGATAATAGAGTTGGAAGGGACCTTGGAGGTCTTCTACTCCAACCCCATGCTCGAGCAGGAGACCCTACCATTTGAGACATGTTCATCTTGATTCCTTTCCTTGGGATGAATTCCAGTTTGACAAACTTTTTTCTAAAATCAATGGCCATAACAATATTCTAGGTCCTAGGAGCAGTCTGAGGAACATTGACTTCTCTTGATTTTGACAATATATTTCTGCTGATGTAACTTCCCCTCAAATTAAGCAATTTTATTTTTTTAAAAAGAGGCTTTGGCAAATTTGTTATAGAGCAGGGGTGTCAAACTGGATCAGCATTGTAGTTCTCTGCAAGCCGGCAGGGGGGAAGCAGGGGGGAGACAGGACAGATGACTTGTGCAGCAGTCTGCGGGGCAAAAATGGGCCACGCGGAGGCCTCCCGAGGCCCCTGCACTGCCCGTTTTCAGCCTCCCCGGCTTCCTGCAGCATTCTGCCAGCCAAAAAATGGGCCATGCTTAGGCTTGCCGAGGTCCCAGTGTAGCCCTTTTTTGACTGGCAGAGTGCTGCTGGAGGCTGGGGAGGCCGAAAATGGTCTACGCGGGGGTTGCACATTTAATTTAATTTAATTAATTTAATTAATTCAATTTATATGCTGCCCCTCTCTGAAGACTCAGGGTGGCTCACAATACATTTTAAAAAATTATTATAAAAAACATTTAAAAATTAAAAACATTAAAAACTCATTCACGCCATTCATGGCTGGATCTCGCCAGATCACAAGAGCGAGATCAACGGCCCCAGGCCTGCCGGAAAAGCCAGGTCTTCATCGCTTTTCGGAAGGCCAATAGGGTGGGGATGGTCCGGACCTCAGGAGGTAACTGGTTCCAGAGAGCTGGAGCAGCCACAGAGAAGGCCCTCCCCTGTGGGCCCGCCAGCCGACATTGTTTAACTGACGGGACCCGGAGGAGACCAACTCTGTGGGATCTTACCGGTCGCTGGGAGCTATGCGGCAGAAGGCGGTCTCGAAGATAACCCGGCCCTAAGCCATGTAGGGCTTTAAAGGTAATAACCAACACCTTGAATTGTGACCGGAGACCAATAGGGAGCCAGTGCAGCTCGTGGAGAATTGGTGTAATGTGGGTGTACCTAGGTGCACCCATGGCAGCTTGCGCGGCTGCATTCTGGACCACATGGCCCATTTTGGCCAGCAGAGGCACGGCGGGCTGGTACTTTGATATTTCCAGGCCAGCCTCATGGGCTGGATTTAAGCACCCTGCCAGCCTGCAGGCTTTGACACCCCTGTTATAGAGGTTTACTTTTTTTTTTTTTTTTTAATTGATTTATATGTTGCCCTTCTCCAGAGACTCAGGGCGGCTTACAATGCGTTAAGCAATAGCTTAACTAATTTTGATAGTACAGTTACTTCACTTCATGTTTGTTTTTCATTTCAGGGAAACAGCGACTGAAAGTTTGTTCCAAGATCTCCTGCAGATTTTGGAAAAAGTTTCCCGTGAAATTGAAGTGGCACGCCAGGATGCCAGTACACTGGCACATCTAGATTCACGGTTGCAACTGCTATCAGAATGTTTTCGATGCCTTCGGAATGCTTGTGCGCAGTGTGCAAACAGCCAAAATGTTATGAGGTAAAGTTTTGGCTCCTGTGAGCAGGGCCTATACATGCGTAGCTTTATTTGAATGCTTACATTCCATCATTTGTTCATAATTTTGAGTTTTTATTGGATTTAACTTGGGAAGCTTGCGTCCCTTTGAAATCCATCTCTCTCTTTGTTAATTCACTTCATCTTTTGTCTACTCTCAGCATATTAATAGGAGTTGATTTGTCTCTGGCATTGGAATGAAACCTTGTGAGTGAATGAATTCATAGGTTAGGCTAACTGACCGATGCATAATATTGTATTTGTTTGACTCTGTTCAAAGGTATTAGATTAGACCTCATTTTGCAATCTTGGTTTTTTTTCCCCCTTTGGGTATTTGGCAATTATTTTCTTCTCTTATGCTGCCTGAGTATGTTGTACAGTAGAACTATTCAGAGATGGAAGTTCAGTGACCTGTTCATAATTTTGTACTATTTTTATAGTACTTTAGTATCTATGAACCATCCAATAATTTATACTGAAAATTATTAGAAGAGCCTGTTACATGAGCCTGAGCTATTATCTACCAAAGGCAGATCATGATAATGATTTGATTAGGTTTACTTGTTGAAATCTAGCAGAAATAATATATCAACCTAAAATATCTGGTTTTTGGGCTTCATCCATTTGCCATTGTCTCTCCATTAGGTCTTGCTGAATATGCACAGATACAGTACACACTTTTCTTCTGCACTGTACATGTTGTTGGTCTAGAACAGGGATCTGCAACCTTAAACACTCAGAGTGCTATTTGGACCCGTTTCCCACAGAAAAGAAAACACCGGGAGCCACAAAACCTCGGTGGGCGTAGCCAACTCGACACCACTCACTTTCACCAGTCACATGACCCCCTAGCTATGCCTACCCAGCTGGTCATTAGGGCAGAGAACCGGTTGTTGACAACGGGAACCACAAAACCCTTTTGACATCTTTCTCTCTCTCTCTCTCCCCCCCTCCTCTGTATCCCTCTGTCTCTGCCCCAGCCACTTCTCCATCCCCTGCCATCACCCTTACCTTCTCAGGCCAGGTGAGGAATGACTGGGAGGGGAGGGCGAGGGGTGGGGCCAGCCAGTGGTGGGATCATCCAACAGGGAGCCACAGCAGAGGGCCCAAAGAGCCGCATGCGGCTCCAGAGCCGCAGGTTGCAGACACCTGGTCTAGAAGGTACACCAGTGTTTCTCAACCTTAGCAACTTTTAAGATGTGTGGACTATGGTTCCCAGAATTCCTCAGCCACGCTAAGATTGAGAATTACTGCTGTAAATATGCTGTGCATATTTCTTCTACCACAGTCCAAACTATAAAACTCTAATTTTGTTTTTAAGAAAAAATGCAAACAAATTATCGTATTTTAGCTTGATATATTAATTTTGTTGTAAAGATCATAGTAATTCGGTAAATAAAATAGGCATCTGGTACCCTCCAGGTGTTTTGGGCTTAATTATTACAGTATTAAGGTAAAGGTTCAGGTTCCCCTCGCACATATGTGCTAGCCGTTCCCAACTCTAGGGGCTGGTGTTCATCTCCGTTTCAAAGCCAAAGAGCCAGCGCTGTCCGAAGACGTCTCCGTGATCATGTGGCCGACATAACTAAACACCAGTGGCGCACGGAATGCTGTTACCTTCCCACCAAAGGTGGTCCCTATTTTTCTACTTGCATTTTTTACGTGCTTTCGAACTGCTAGGTTGGCAGAAGCTGGGGCAAGTAACAGGAGCTCACATTACAGTATTAATCTCAGTGAATTAGCAGAATTTGGGCACTGCTTGTTTTTTATTTTCATTTAGGTGTGTCTAAACTGCACAGAAGAAGCTGCCTAGGTAATATTTTTAATCTCTTAATCTCAAGAATGACAATGTCTATACAAAGTGTGTATACTAAGGTATAAGACTTACAAAATAAAAAAACAAATCTTCCTTAATAAGGATGAAATTACTTCCAAGTAATAGCATATAAAACAGGAATATGTGCCAATATTTGCCACAACGTACTCTTTGCGTTTACGGTATTGCCTAAAATTTCACTAAGGAATACCAATTGTGGAGACCACTTTTATGATCCCTTATTATCACTTCTTGTAAAAAAGATTTCCTAGTTTTCTGCTTCTTTAATAGTTTGTGTTAAAAATATGCAATGAGTTCTTCATGCGAAGACGATCATGAGATGCGGCTCAGCTCAGCTATTTGGATTTACCCACTAGAAAGGATAATAACATTTTGGAACAGTATACGCAATGCCTCACTTGATTCTTTTAATTTAATTTCTTAAAATTCCATGACTTCTTACTGAATACCTTACCTTTTTTTTAAAAAAAATTGAAAATTGTGATTTTAGAGAGAGATGAGTTGTATCTAGATATTCTAACACATATAAACTCTGGCATTACTGAAAACAATGGGCATGAGCTAGAAGAATTTATTGATTAATTCATATGTGGCAATAACTATAATTTGCGTTGCCTCATCAGTAAACTGAAACAGGCCACAGTTGGAAATTGTTTGTTTATGTTTGGTGGTTGCAGATTTTTGACTTTATCCATTTTCTGGACAATATAGTTCTCAATTCAGCTGATGGAAGCCGTTTCATTTTAATACCGGTAGTACTTCGAACACTTAGAGAGTCTGAAGAGTCAAAGTAACATATATTTTTTTTCAACATTATGAATAGAACCTCTCATAGTAATACTCATTTTAATAAGTGTTGAATGAATCTGGCCATTGGTCAAGGATGAAATGGCCTGAGTGTTGCATTGGCTCCCGGTGGTCTTCCGGGTGCGCTTTAAGGTGTTGGTTCTCATATTTAAAGCGCTCCATGGCTTAGGGCCAGGGTATTTGTGAGACCGCCTGCTGCTACCGATAACCTCCCACCGGCCAATATGCTCTCACAGAGAGGGCCTCCTCAGGGTGCCGTCGGTCAGGCAATGTCGGCTGGCGGCCCCCAGGGGGAGAGCCTTCTCTGTGGGGCACCCGCCCTGTGGAATGAGCTGCCTCCTGGAATACGATTGATCCTGGACCTCCGTACCTTCCGTAAAGCCCTGAAGACGTTTTTATTCCATCAAGCCGGCCTAGCCTAAATGGTTTTTAAATTGGGATTTTAAATTTTATGGATTTGGGGGTTTTAAATTGGGAAGCTAGTGATTTAATTCTTTTTAATTATCTTAACTTTTGTATTTGTATGTTTTTTAATTTTGGCTGTTCACCGCCCTGAGTCCCTTCTGGGAGAAGGGCGGTATACAAATTAAATAAATAAATAAATAAATAAATAAAACTGTTGCGGCCCGCCAGCGGATCTAGCAGGAGATTCAGACAGTGAGGAGGTTGGGGAGGAACATGAACCAGTCCTGGAGTCTGGGAAAGGCTCTGATGAGGGCTCTGCATCAGAGGCAGAGAGGGGGCCAGGGCCGGATGCCAGTTATCAGCTGCCTTTGGAGTCGGACATCAGTGAGGTAGAAGAACAGCTGGAGCCTGTTCCCAGGGTGCGCATGCAGAGTTGCCAGACGAAGGGAACAGCTAAAGAACAAGAGTTGCCTTGGGAGTAAGGCCACAGGTGGACGATGAATGGCCCCTCCCAGAGGGAATAAAAGAGGAGCGAAAGGGGAGTGGAGTTTGCAGGAGACAATTAGTTCATTACTGCATTCTTGCCAAGTATTGCAGTGTCTGAAAGATATCGGCCTGGCCACTCTCCAAGCTTGATAAAAGTCGGTAATTGTGAACTATCTTGAAAGACTGTGGGAGAAGGAAGACTTTGCTGGAGAGGAATTCACTGTAAATTAAATAAAAGGGGTTTTTGTTTGGACAAGGAGTCTGCTTCGTGGTTTGGGGAAGCCTAGGTCAGAACTAAAACTGGTTAGGATCTGGATGTAGAGGTACAGCCTCAAGCTGAACCCTAGCAAAAAAAGAATGTTTTTGGGTTTGGAGACCATCAGCAACCAGAAATGGTTCCTCTTTAGTTTTGGATGTGTCGCATTCCCATATTCAGAGCTTGAATCTGATGGTTCTCCTGGTCTCATCGTTCCTGCTGGAACAGAGGGAAAAGGCCCTAGCCAATTAATCTTTGTGGCAAATTGTATGCCAGTTTGAAAGTGTAACTTGGTTAGAAAGTGTAACTTGTAGTCATTTGTATCCTTGTCATCTCAAGGTTGGGCTGTTGCAATTTTGTCTATCTGGGGCTGCCCTAAAAGACCATCCGAAGGGTTAAACTTGTTCTCTGTGCAGCTGCCTGGGTGAATTTTAAGAGTCCCAACTTCAGCACCAATTTGCCATACCCCCCTGTGCTAAAGAGATACCCTCAATTCTGGATGCTGGCAAACTCACCTGAGCCAGGAAGCTCACAGGATGATCATATAACAGACCATTAGCGTAAGATTTAATAGGTTTGTTGAGAAGGTAATTGAGGCTCATTCAGCCAATTCCTCATTTTCTTTAATTCCATTTTTTTTTCTGCCAACATCTTGATGCTACCACAAAGGTTAACGGTGGTAAAAGATTGCTTTGCGCTGTGTTTTCTGTTTGTTGTAGAGTATATAAAGTAGTGGCCAAAATTGTGGAAAACTTTTGGGAAAAGTGTATTTTTGAGGTTTGATGGCTAACCCCCCCCCTTTTTTTGGAGTTTCAAGATAATCATATTCCACTGCTGGAATGGCCTGGGAATAGCCCAGACCTTACCCCAATTGAAAATCTATGGAGCCGACTAAAGAAACTTGTTAGTCAAAAAAACCCAGCAATAAAACCCAGTTAATAGAAGCCATCATTCAATCTTGGTTTCACATTATAACAGCTGCAGAACTAAAAGGCTTGGTTCACTCCATGGGAAGAGGTTGTAAGGTTACCCAACTAAGTATTAACTGACATGGTGATCATTTGGGTATATCTCATTTTTTCTACGTGTTTCACTTTTCATCTTTATACTGTAACTGCTATTCTATTAGCAATTCCTTCATAAAAGTTATTGCATTACATTCTCAATTAAAATATCTTTCCATTGATATATAATTTTGTGGTACTACTCCCCCCCCCCCAAAATGGTGTTAGTAGCTAGTTTTAGAAAATACACTTTTCCCAAAAGGTTTCCACAATTTTGGCCACTACTGTATATAATTGTGTTTTATGGGACTTTTATAATGTGTCAATATAATAATGTTGCATATAATGTTGATTTCTCCATTTGTAAATTGACCTTTTTTTGTTTTTAATGATAGGAGTCTGGGTCTGATTGATGCCTCTATCCATGTGATTCAGTTGTTACAGAAATTAGAAAGTGATTTGGAATCACACTTGATAGGTAAGTATTGGGCAATTGCTGTTATTGTAATCTTATAAATCAGCCCCCCAAACTTCTCAACTAAAAACTGTTGTGCCTTTCTGAACATACTCACAGTGTTAATTTTGTTGTAGAAGTGGTGTGAAAAAATACCCCCAGCTTCATTTTACAGAAACATTTCTTGGCAGGCTGAGCCAGTGGTGGGTTCCTCCTGGTTCGGCCCGGTTCTCCCGAGCCGGTAGCAGTGACGATATGATGTCACCGAACTGGTTCTGCCCCCCCATCCACCCCCCCGCGTTCTTCTTACCTTTTATTTGGCCCCACCCTCAATCTATTGCTGCCTCCTGAGTCCCAGCTGATGGCTAGAGGGGAAAAAACTGTTTAAACTCTTGCCTCGGGGCTTCAAAGGGCCACCCTACAGCTGATCAGTGTTAAAAGAAAACAAATGAGTAGACCGGTGTCTGCAAAAATACATGAGTAGATCAGTGCCTGCAAAAATAAATGGGTAGACCAGTGCCTGCAAAAAATAAATGGGTAGACGGGTACAGGTCTGCAAGCAGTTAAAAGCCTGGTAGACCAGTACCTCTGCTAAATCCTAAATAATTGTCACATGACCATCAAGCCACACCCACAAAATAAGCCACGGCCACAGAACCGGTAGTAAAAAAATTTAGAACCCACCCCTGGGCTGAGCGATGTTCTTACCATTAAGAACTACCGAATCATCCTCTTAAAATGTTATTACATTCTTTATGGAACTTCATTAGTGTTCCAAAGGTGCTTTTTTCAAGAGGCAACTGGACTTTCTGGTTTTTCTTTGAAGACATTTCGCTTCTCATCCAAGAAGCTTCTTCAGCTCTGAAGCGTCTTGGATGAGAAGCAAAACATCTTCAAAAAAAAAACAAAACCCCAGAAAGTCCAGTTGCCTCTTGAAAAATCACCTTTGGGATAACCATGACCTGGATGACTGAGAATCTCCATAGAAACTTTATTAGTGGTAGATTGAAACACTGTGGCTTGTTATCTACATGTTCTGTAAATAATATTGAAAAGAACCTTTATGCATGTTTTATATGTTTATGGAGGTTCTGATGAAAACCAGGTTCTTCAGAATGGAGATACCGTATTTTTCGGAGTATAAGACGCTCCGGACTATAAAATGCACCTACCTTTTTTGGGGAGGAAAACAAGAAAATATATTATCTTAGAAATAATTTAGTGTATATATTAAATTCTTGCTGAATTTAAGTGTCAAATGGGTTAAAGTAGATAATTTACCATATTTTTCGGAGTATAAGACGCACCGGAGTATAAGATGCACCTACCTTTTTTGGTGAGGAAAAGAAGAAAAAGAAATCTGCCTCCCAGCAATTTTGCCTCGTTGCAGCAAACAGCCTGCTTTACTTTCATTTTCAGCACAGCCTGATTGTTTTTAATGATGAAAAGAGAGAAGAAATATAAATAAGTACCCAACTTTATGAGTTGTATGGTGTCTGCTTGTGCACATTTGTGTGTGTATGACATGCAGTTATTCCATACAAACAACCTCAATATTTTTCCTTAGTCTGTGAAATGAAATATTCTGTACAAACTAGGGATGAGCTACATAACTACATGCAAACATTAAATAAGATTTCCATCCAGCATACAGATTATTTTTAAAAAATGCACATTTCATTGGCTGGAGAAAGGAACCCTAAATAGAACTGGGGGATGTTAAAAATAATGTAATTTTTTTCCTTCTCTAAAACAGGATGGTTCTGAAAAAAATATCTCCTAGGATATTATACTAGTCAATATTTAATTGAGAAGAAATGCTAATTGTTTCTGCTAAATTCTTCAAGATACATAATATTTAACCGTCAGTTTTTCCATTGCAGATTTCTGCATTTATTATTTTTAAATTTGAATTTCCCTTTAAATAGTGCATCTTATTAGTCTAAAATTCAGGGCAAACCCTTTTCAAGTAATTAAAGAAGAAAAAAATACATTATTGTCATTGTAGTAGACAAAAATAACCAGCAGAGTAACTATAATGTAACCTGCATCATTTTTTTTATAGTTACTTAAAAAGGATAGCCCTGAATTTATTTCGCTTTTGTTCTTTTCTACTTCAAAGAAATTAGTGCCAGTTTTTACAACTATGATCAAAGCTGTAACTATATTGTCAAGATAATATTATTAAAGGTTTCATTTCTGGGGATAATGGCATATGTGATGAATATACATCAAAATGTTGAAACCTATGTGTGAGTTTTTATTTGACTTAACTGTTGGATTTGTCTTCTAAACTGTTTCAAAAAAATTTTTGCCTTCTGATACTACTAATACTATAAATTGCTATAAAGTCTCACTTCCAGTATTATTAACATTTGGTTTTTGAGTTGCTTGTTTCTTACCTCCCCATAAAAGTATCTCTGAATTTGTTGCAAAAAGGAGTCATATTTCATACTGCACAACTTCAAATGAAAAATAATGTTAGTTATTCCCAGAATCCATGAAAAACTTCCTCTTGAAATTTTGAATTTATTATAGGCCTTGAATATCTTCAAATAAAATCTAGCATTATTGGAGCATTTATTAAACAAAGCGATTATTCTGTGCGTGAGAGGGAAAAGCAAAGCAAAGGAGGAAAACTGGTATTACTGCAATTCTCTTTTTTAATATTTATGTCGGTGACTAAACAGTAGGAAAGAAATGGGCAATTAAGCAGAGAAACTATTACCGTACAGGCATGTTTTTAAGTGATCCTTCAGTTGGGACACCTGGCAATAAATGCTTGTTTGACTATAGAAAGAAGTGGGTTTTTCTACCAGCATTTAATTGATAGAGAACGTGTTTCTGTCCAATCTTACAACTAACATTTTTAATAAGATCTCTGAACTGTGCAGTATTGCTTTCCATTGTCCTGTTTCTAAACAGGATATAATTCAAAAGAAAACAAAGATCCTTCCAGAGAAAATCAGTATGTGAAATAATTTTGGTCTAACAGAAATAATTTTGTTACCAATGTAGGTCCGATTGATGTAGTAGCATGTTTTCACTAAAATCAGTTCAAAGTGAAGTCACCTTCATGGCTACCATTAATGTTCCAATATATCTTCACCATTTCTAAGCTGTTATACAGCAGAAGGCAGGTTGAAGTGATATCCTAGGCATCTTGATGCTGTTGTGTATAGGATGTGGATTAGATTATTTCTGTTTGCCATGTTGCAGTTGACCCAAATTGCCTGCCTGCCTGCCTGCCTGCCTGCCTGCCTGCCTGCCTGCCTGCCTGCCTATCTATCTATCTATCTATCTATCTATCTATCTATCTATCTATCTATCATCTATCTATCTATTGGTTCGATTTATATGCCGCCTTTCTCCGGAGACTTGGGGCGGCTTACAATGCGTTAAGCAATAGCCTTCATACTTTTGTATATACCTGCTTAGTAGGGCTTTTGGCCCCCCTTAAGCGGTGTTCTTTTTTATACAAAGTCAGCTTATTGCCTCCACAATCTGGGTCCTCATTTTACCTACCTCAGAAGGATGGAAGGCTGAGTCAACCTTGAGCCTGGTGAGATTTGAACTCGCACTAATTGCAGGCAGCTAAGTGCTACTTAAGTGCTACTTAACAGCGTTTTAGTCCGCTGCTCCACCAAGGCTAATTAGTTTCATTTGCACAATAACATATGCCAGGTTCTGTGGGTTGTTCCAGATGTTTAAGGGATGCAGTTACCTGACAAACCATGGACTCTTTTTTGCAGTTCCAGTTTGTGACGGTGTACTTACAATGCATGCTCTGCATGTATGAATGTAAATGGGTCAAGGAAATAAGCCTTAAAAGCAAGTTTTAAAAATAAAATAAATATAAAATCAAGGTTTGGTTCTTACCTGTGTTCCCCTGAAAATAAGACCTGGTCTTAAATTTTTTTACCACCAAAAAAAGCACCAGGTCTTATTTTTGGGGATGTTTAATTACTGACTCACCTTGCGGCAGCACCCCCCCCCCCAGCAGGAATCCGCTGCTGGCCCACTTCTTCTGCAGCAGGAACTCTATTATCGGCTGCAGAGGGCTTTCCAAAAGGGCTTCTGATGGTGAAACGGAGGCCCGGGGGCGATGCTAGGGTTGCCAGGTCTGCTTCCAAAAAATAGCGGACAAGCGGGGGATGGGTGGGTTAAGTAGTAAAAGAATAAAAAAAAAATTACAATTAAATTATATATTTTCTTACAAACAATTTACAGTAGGCCGTCGTATTTGTTCTGTCGGTTTTGTTGTTGGTAATCCATGCAAAAGTAGCTTCCCAGTCTTTGGTGTATTTGCACACTCCTCTCTTTCGTTTTAAAGAATTCGAAATCTCGCCGCTGTCACTCTCATCACTCGACGCCACTTTATGTCAGTCGACACAAGCTACAATACATTTTAAAAATGTGAACTGTACATAATTTTATAATATATTTTTATTTTAATCTCATCATTAATTTTTTCGGAGAATCGAGTTCAACGGATTTTCGATCTTTGTCTCATTCTAACTTATGAAAAAAAAAGACAGAACGCGATTCTCCTATCCTTATTCTCTTAGACTGTACAGCTTTAGATTACGTACCATTTCATCATAAAGCTTTTGAATAAAAAAAATGTCCATTATTTTGTGAAAAAAAAATAGTGAACATAATGTGAAAAAAGCGGACTGTTCGCTCAAATAGTGGACACCTGGCAACTCTAGGCGATGCACCAGTCAATCTGGACCTCATTTCTTGGCTGCAGAGGCCTTTCCAGAAGGCCTCTGATGGTGAAACAGAGGGTGGATGCGACGCACATGAGCAGCAGCAAGCGGCCGCAGAAGTGGGCCTGCAAGGCGAGCAGGTATCGGGGTGTGCGAGGCCTGGTAAGTAGGGCAGCTCCATCCCCCCATCTCCACCCTAGCTTAATTTTTACCTGTGTGCCTTGCCCACCCTGTGCACGGTCTTAATTAGGGCTTATTTTGGGGTAAGGCTTATTTTGGGTGCACATGTAAAAAATCAAGGTAGGGCTTATT